CAATGTGCTGTGGCCTGGGCCCCATCTGAGACTATACAGTCAAAATTGTTGGAGTGCTCTGGAATCACTCTTAGAACCAGAGACCTACAGAATGGTAGGGGACACAAGGAACTCAGTCAGAGGGAAACCAGAGCAGTGACAGCCTTGCCCAGCCTCTGGGCCTGACCACGAGGCCAGCTGAGGTCCTGCTGAAAGGGACGCCTATTCGTGAAAAGCTCTTCCCAGGCATCAGGCCTTATTGTAAGAATTAAGTGTGAACTTACTTAATCCTCGCAACAACCTTGTCGATAAGGAGAAAACAGCGTTGTCCAGCTTGAACGTCAAGAGCAGGGACGGACCTGCTTCCTGCACTGGATACCCTTTTAAAAGCACCAAACACTTCCATTCTAATTTTCACCAGGTACAGAAGCAAAGACCGGATCATGAGATTCGTGATACAAAGGCGTGGGCTATGAGCTGCTTGGGGCTCCGACGATCAGCAAAATCTCCACTAAAGCAGGGTCTGCAGCTAGAGGGGGATATCTCCAGGCTAAGTGTCCACCAGCTTCCCCAGAGGGAGAAATGGAAATTTGTCAGATTCCCACATATCGTCTGTCATCTCTTGTAAGCATGGGTGTTTATATCAACAGCCGTGGCAAACATCGTATGTCCTTGTGAGCTGAGCGTGTAGATTCAATCACTCTCTGCTAAGACTTTTGTCCTTGTCACCCTGGCCCAGTCCCAGAACTGTCTGAGCCCTGTTGTGTGGCTACAAGGAGAGCCAAGCTGTCCGGACTCAGGCTGACCCAGCGTAGGAAGCTGAATCTTTAAGAGAAATTGGCACCCACGTGGCTTTTTCTTGTCTGGGTTAGCTGAACCCTACACTGCCTCACACCCCCAGACCACAGTAGATGTGCAAGCACACATACACACAGGCATGTGCACACCACACAGGCACACACCTGTACACACCACACACACACTAACATACACACATATCACACACACATACTAACATAGAAGCAACACACAACACACACACATACACACAGATGCACACTGCAGTCACACCACACCCCCACACATATATGAAGCAGCAGTTCTAGATTTGGGTACGTGAACTGCCCGCCCACAGTGGCACTTGGGAGTCCGGCAGGTTATGAGGTTATCGTTTGTGTTCTCCATCATATTCATGCAGATCCTTTGCTCAGCTAAAATCTCTCTCCTGGACCTGGGCTGGTCTTTGCTCATCTCATTGATATAGCAGGATTGCCAGATAAAACACAGGACAAGGACACCCAGTTAAATTTGAATTTCAGACAAGAACGGCAAAAACAAAATTAGTATAAGTATGTCCCAAATATTGCATGGGACATACTTACACTAAAAATTATTTGTTCTTGATCTGAAATTAAAATCTGACTGGGAATTCTGCATCTTTATTTACTAAATCTGACAATCTTACTTAGAAGGGCAGTGATTTCTATGGCTCGGCCCCACGCTCTGGGTTTAGAACACCAGGTGTCTGAGGTGGTAAAGGTTTGGAGCTCTCTGGGACTATGTGGCGCCTTCTGAATCATGGGCCAAGATCGAGATAATTAAAAACAGATGTGCCCCCAAATGTGCCACGACTTGCTTGTAATTACTGTGATCCTTAAAGACTCTTTGTTGAGCCTCAAATTGAAATTTAGTGGACAGTTGCCAAAAATGTGGAGTTTCCCACATTACATGTCACAAGGAAAACGACTTCCAAGCTGAATCTCCCAGGCCTGTCCCCGTGCCTACAGCATCCTGCAATTAGATGACATACTCGGCTGCTGTATTTATCTTAAGGAGTTTATAACCTCTTGGAGGAAATTATAAACTTCCTTTTTATTCAGAGTCTTACTTGGTATAAGCAAAAACATAGATGTCTTAGTTTATATAGAAAACTGCCTTTCTAGAAGCTTTATTACTGTAGTCCCATCCTGACGGCACTCTTTATTTATGTAGAAAGTAGTTACAAAAACAACTTTACAACATGCCCACATATCTCACACTCATACTTTGAGAATATCAATACTTGCTGAGTTCACTACACTCCATATTCCACAGAAAACATTGAGATAAGATTGTTTTAATTCTGATGCAATAGCGCCATTCTTGTCTATTCCTCATTTTTCATTCTTTTTCATTTTCCAGTCGCTATTCTATTTTCTATTCTATGGGAGATGTTGATTTAAGAGGTCTATCCAATACCATTGTTCCAATAAGTAGACACTGATAGGACCATTTTCAATGCAAGTGACTTTTATATTCTGATAATGAATGATAACGTATTTATTGACCATTATATACCTGGCATTGTGTCAAGTGCTTGCATACGGTTTTCATTCAATTCTACTAAGAGTTCTCTAATTCTGTAAATGAGAAATTATAATGAACCCAATTTTACAGCTGGGGAAACTAAGGCACAGTGCGTTATAATTCCTAACTGCACTGCAAATCATCTTCCTTAAGTAGAAGTGAAAAATATAAACATCAAATTTTGAGTCATATAATTCTTCAGGAATCATTCTTAACTGTACATATATTGAGCTCCTAGATCAATCTAGGGCTCCTAGATGTTAGCCCTGAGCTAACATCCATAGCCAATCCTCCTCTTTTTGCTGAGGAAGATTGCCCCTGAGCTAACATCTGTACCCATCTTCCTCTATTTTATACGTGGGACACCTGTTACAGCATGGCTTGATAAGTGGTGTGTAGGTCCGCTCCTGGGATCTGAACTGGAGAATCCCAGGCTGCTGAAGGAGAGCATGCAAACTTAACTGCTGTGCCAATGAGCCAGCCCCAGGGTTTTTTTCGTTGTTGAATTGTAGGAGTTCTTTGTATATGCTGGATATAGCAATCCTATATCAGATCTGCAAATATTTCCTCCCATTCTGTGAGTTGCCTTTTTACTCTCTTGATCACATCCTTTGGTGCATAAAGGTTTTTTAAAAGTAATTTTGATGAAGTAAAATTTATCTATTATTTTCTTTTGTTGCCTGTGCTTTTGGTGTCATCCAAGAAATCATTGCTAAATCCAATGTCATGAAACTTTCCCCTATTTTTTTCTAAGACTTTTATAGTTTTAGCTCATGTATTTAGCTCTTTTAGTTATATTTAACTCCACTTTGAGTTAATTTTTGCTTATGGCATAAAGTAAGGACCAACTTCATTCTTTTACGTATGGATATCCAGTTTTCCCAACATCATTTGTGAAAGGGCCCATGGACGCTTAAGTACACTATTAACTATGGCCAGTGGCTGTGACTTCATGTATTTTATCTCCTCTTCCTTTGAAAGAGAATACCAATTTTTCACCAAGATTGCTACCCAGAACAGGTCTTTCTTGTAGGTAGACAATTGCCTTGTAACTGAAATCAAGCCAATAAGATAGAAGCAAAAGTGTTGCGTGTACTTCTAAGAAGGTGACCATAAAGAGTACATTTTGTGTGAGGAAAACCTCCTTGGCATTCTCTCTCCTTCTGCCACCAGCCTGAAACATGGATGTGGTGGCTGGAGTTATAGTATACACCTTAAACAGAGAAATGACCAGGAGTGAAAGCATTATAACAGAAAGGCGGGAGCCCAGATCCTGGAAGACACCGTGGAGCGACCATATCAACTTTGGATCCCCTTGTGAAAGACTTTTAGGAGAAGGAAATTGACTTCCACTGTGTTTTGGCCACTCTTAATTTATCTTTTCCTGTTATTCAGATGGTCCTAATGTTTTGAAAGATTTAATGCATTAATTTAAAATACACAAGTAGGGGGCTGGCCCCGTGGCCGAGTGGTTAAGTTCACATGCTCCGCTGCAGGCGGCCCAGTGTTTTGTTGGTTCGAATCATGGACACGGACATGGCACTGCTCATCAAGCCACGCTGAGGCAGTGTCCCACATGCCACAACTGGAAGGACTCACAACAAAGAATATACAATTATGTACTGGGGGGCTTTGGGGAGAAAAAGGAAAAAAATAAAATCTTTAAAATACACAAATGGAAGAATTTAGGCAGAGGTACATTCCCATGAAACTACTGCCACAATCAAGCTACCAAGCGTTTCCATCACGCCCAGAAGATTCTCTGTTCTAGTGGTTTGCAGTCCCTCCCTCCCTCTGACCTGGCCCAGGCAACCACTGAGCTTCTGTTTTTTTATCACTGTAAGTTAGTTTGCCTTTTATAGAATTTTGCATAAATGGAATTACACAGTACTCATTCGTGTCTGGTTTCTTTCACCCAGCACAATGATTTTGACATTCATTTATGTTGTTATGTGATCAGTAGTTTGTTTCTTTTTATTGCCCAGAGTTGTCCATTCAGTGGATATACCACAATTTGTTTATCCATTCACTTCTTGATGGATATCTGGGTTGTTGTCAGTTTCTGGCCATTGTGAAAAGAGCTTTTGTGAATGTTTGTGTAAAAATCTTTGCGTGGACATGTTTTCATTCCTCTTGGGTAAATAGCTAGGAGTGAAGTGGTTGGGTCTTATACTAGGTGTTTGCCTAACTTTTGAGAAACTATAAAACCACGTTTTCAAATTGGTACCATTTTACATTTCTGCCATCAGTGTATGAGAATTCTAGGTGCATCATATCCTCATTAATAACTGGCTTAGTCGGTCTTTTTAATTTAGCCATCCTAATACATGCAATAATAACTCACGGTTTTTGGGGGGTTTTTTTGAGGAAGATTAGCCCTGGGCTAACATCTGCCGCCAATCCTCCTCTTTTTGCTGAGGAAGACTGGCCCTGAGCTGATATCCATGCCCATCTTCCTCTATTTTTTATGTGGGACACCTTCCACAGCACGGCCTGACAAGCAATGGGTAGGTCCACACCCAGGATCCGAACCAGCGAACCCCGGGCCACTGAAGCAGAACGTGTGAACTTAACAGCTGCACTGCCGGGCCAGCCTCTCTTATGGTTTTGATTTGTATTTCACTAATAACTGCCAATGTTGAACATCTTTTCATGTGTTTGTGGACATTCTTTTATCTTCTTTGATGAGGTATATTTCCAGACATTTTGTCCTTTTTTTATTGTGTTGGTTGTCTTCCTATTACTGAGTTGTAGCAATTCCTTATGTATTCTAGGTGTCAGTCCTTTGTCAAGCACATGTACTGAAGATATTTTCACTTATTCTGCGACTTAAATTTTATTTTTGTATCAGTGTCTTTTGAAGAGCAAAACTTTTGAAGTTTTAGTGAAGTCCAGTTTCTGAACCATTTTCCCTTTTATGGTTCATGCATTTGTTATGCAAATATTCTCTCCTGTGTTGTCTCACAGTGTTATAACTTTATGTTTTACATGAGTCTCTGACCCACCTTGGGATGGTCGCTTCTTTCAGAAGTTGCTATTTCTAACTGCAGGAATAATACTGTTTCAGCATTCTCTCTCTGCTTGTTCGGTCCTCTGACACCTGTTATCCAATTACCTGCTTTAAGTTCATTCTGTAAAAAATAATGAGTGTGGGTTTATTTTCTTGTCTGGACTCTGATTGATGCACTCTCTATAGGGTGAGGGGAGATCTGTTTGCCATCAGCATTAATGTCTGAGCAAGCACTTTCTCCAAACTACCACCTCTTCCCTGTTACTCTGGGGAAGAAAGACACAGCCAGCCAAGCTGAGGTCTCCATGTCCCCACAGCATATCAAGAGAGGAACAGGAATCAATCAATACCATGGAAATGAACTCATTACCTTACAGAACACTAACATCTGACCTCTGTTGATGTCCCAGGCATTGTACTCATAATCACATTGTGCTGTAGTTATTTCTACCATGCCCTTTTTATAGATGAAGAAAGTGAAACTTAGAGCGTTACTTAATATTTAAATCCCTTAAGCTTAAGATTTTGTGGGTAGATTATACAGAACCAAACAAATCACAATTGTTTTCTTCAAGGTTCTAATGAGTTAGTAAAAGAGATAAGATGTATATAAATGGAAGGTTAACATAGACCAAGATCAAATAGAAAATAAGGGCAGTCATGGTGGGCTAATGGTTCAACTCTGGCCCGGGTTTGTTTCCCAGTCAGGGAACCACACCATCCATCTGTTGGTTGTCAGACTGTGGCGGCTGCATGTTGCTGTGATGCTGAAAGTTACGTCACGGGGATTTCAAGTACGAGCAGGGTCACCCATGGTGGATGGGTGTCAGCAGAGCTTCCAGACTAAGACAGACTAGGAAGAAGTACCTGGCCACCCATTTCTGAAACAGTTGGCCGTGAAAACCCTTTGAATGGCAGAGGAGCATTGGCTGACATAACACTGGAAGGCGCAAGAAGACCAGGCAGGATTCTGCTCTGCTGTCCACAGTGTCACTAGGAGTTGGAATCCAATCAAGGGCGCCAATAACAACAATGGGTTGTAATCGCTGACAGTCTCCCAAATGGGAACTATGTAAGGAGTTGCTAAGAGTATGAACATGTACTAAGTAACACAGAAATTAGATGAGAAGAGAGAGAATCCAGTAAGAGTCATCTACAGGTGACAATCTTTGCTCCAGGACAGAAATGTGCAAGATGTGCATGGGTAGCAGGAGGGAGTCAAGAAGGGTTCCTTGGAAGAAGGAAGCAGGGGATGGTGGATGGGTGACTAGTGTGTTTTGGGGAGCAGGTCAGAAAGGGTGGTGATGGCAGGATCTGTTAATTCAGGTGTTCGTGAAATCACTTAGGCTGAGACCGAGACTTTAACAGAGGGGCATTCTGATTTCTTAAATAGGATTCCAATACGGCCCTCATCCATCCCCTCATAAACCAGTGACTGAGAAGCTTCTTCTAGTTGCTCAATACATCCTCAGGTGAGCCTCCCAAGACTCTACGCCCATGCCTCTATCCTGGGGAGGGAAGACACGTGGGGCCCCTATTAAGTTCAGGCATTCAGCTAGACGATTCTACACATGCTCTCACATTTGCCCTCTCTTTACTTGGGGAAATAAGCTAACTCAGACAGCAAGGGTCAGGGCAGGATGTAAATCCAGTAAGAGGTATGGTAGACCATGAATACCAATTCTAGCTTATATTTTAGAAAAATTGTTTGGATAGTATTTCAAACTTTTTACTCTACAATAAGAGATTTCGCCCAAGACTGAGGCTAAATCTTATGTATCTACCTGACCCAGGGGGAGCCCTGAACTTCCAGATAAGGACCCAGGCTCCCAGTAGCCTCTGTTGCTGTCGAGCCAGTCCTCCTGGGCAAGGCATGTACTAGTGTGGACCTCCAGTCTCCATCTACCAAGAGAGGTGGTTGGGCTAGCAATTGTTAATGTTTATTTTACCTTGAGTATGGTATGTGTTTACTATTCCTGCTACTTTTTTTATGTTCTAAAGTAGGATTAAAACTACCTATTAGGGACATAATCAAAATAACACACATGACTTTTCTAGTGAAACTCCATAGATCTACAAATTATTTATAGCTTTTGGAATAGAAATGCTCTTTAGGTTCTGAAACACTCGAACTGGTTCAAATTTTCTTTTTTCCATGCGGATACAGGAAAAATATCATAAGTAAGGAAAATGTGGAGAAAAAATATTTTCTGCAAAAATTACCATCCTACTTTTACTTGAGAAAAGAACTAAAAATACCAAAGTAAAAAAAAAAAATGGTTTTCATGCTACTCTCAAAAGTGGTGGCAGAAAATTTGGCCTTCAGAATGTCCACGTGGACCTGGCCATCTGGCGGTCCCTGGCCCCGTACAGCACCCTCGAGGGCACTTGCTCTGGCAATTCCTTCCCTCATCAGATTCCTCAGGAAGCCTTGCAACCCAGCTTTATCCTGGACCACAGAGAACACGGGTCAGGAGTTGGATGCAAAATCTTTCCGAAGAGCAATTTCAACATCCCTTCTTCAAGGAAAGCCAATTTCTATTTATAGGACAAGCACGCTTTCTAAAAATAGAAAAGCAGCTTGGCGGGGTTACAAACTCATTATGATGATGGCTTTTGATCTTCTACTGCTGCTCTGATGTGGTTCATTGTTTCCTTCAACAAACATCTACTGAACAGCTTCTGAGCCCGGTCCCTCCACAGGTGCTATGGATTCAAAGTCTACTAATTTTATAGTTCCTTCCCCTGGAGCTAGTCTTGGTTCATTGGAAGAATCAGGCATTTAAATAGCAATTGAACAAAGCGGAGGAACATTTGTTCCTCCACTTTGACAGCAGTTTTGGCGTCATGGGGGTGCTGTTAGGAAGAAGGAGGGTATGGTTACTGACCTCTGCCATTTGTAGCTCGACCATCCCTGGGGTGCCAGCCCCTGAGGTCCATCCTCTGGAGCCAGTGGTGATGAGTGGGTTTTCTTGGTGACCCATCAACCTGCCCTTACTGCATTGGATTGGATTTGGGCACCCTGGATGTCCCTGTGGTCCAATCTGGCACAGCCATACAGTCCCACTGCAGGGGGCTTGCTGCCCTTGGTGCCTGCGGATTACCTTCCAAACTGGCTCATCCCTTTCTTCTTCAAAGACACACACAGGCATTCTGGCTCCAGCCAAGCATCACTAAGCCCATGGACTTCCGCCAAGATTTGCTGAGAACTAAGAAGAAGGTAGCCCAGATGCAGAGGGAGAAGCATCAGTATTGAACCAGGCTGATCTGGGTCCCTGCCCTAGATATGCCACTTACCAGCTCTGTCATCTTGGGTAAGCTACCAAACTCTTTTGAGACAGTTTCCTCCTTAGTAAAACGAGGGATATAAAATCCACTTCAGAGGGATGTGAGGATTGACTTAAATGGTGAATAAATACTCTCTGGCCAGTGAACCAAGGTCATTTTATAGCCACTACTTCCTTGGGAGGCTATCTGACCCTAGCAGGTCAGAGAGCAGGCCCTCCCCCCAGGGTTTAGGTATACTCTGGGTTTTTCCCTCCATTGAAGATATGCTAGTGTAATGCCCTCTTTATGTGTTTCTCTCTTGCATGGGGCCATAGAAACTCTTTGGCAAGGATCACGTCACTTCATGTTTTCAGCACCTAGCCAAATGCTTAGCACCTAGTAGATACTCTATACACCTTGGTAGAACTTTCATATACCAAAATAGGCCAGCCTTGACCAACTTGTCAAGCATGAGTCCGGTCATTGGGCCCCTTCATTCTCACCACCCTACGTGTTCATACCTCTGGAGATGTTCTTCCACAGCATCCGTGTTGCTTGTGTTTCATCATTGGCTCCCATGTGTTGGTGACTGTCATCTGGAGCTAATGTGCTAGAGGCTATGTGATGTTTCCATATTTACACATGTAAAAGCAGGCATCAGGGTAAGCGGTTGTCTCACGATAACAACTAAATGCAACTTTCCATACCTCCCACTTGTAAAACAATCATAGACTCAGTTCTATCGCATTATCCCATTATATCCCTGTTATCACGCCTATTATTTATCCCTATGTTATTAAAATATCTCCATTTCTATACCATACCTCTAGCTTTACAGCGAACACTTTTGTGTTTGGAATCACACTGATGCTCTCCCAAGCACTTGCTGATAAATGCTAGACTCTGGGGAAAGAGCTTTAAGCGTTCTAAAACACCTTCCCACCCCCATCTGACTTCTGCCCCCTTTTAGGTCCTTCAGTTTTCTACAACAGTGTCTGCATTGGGACCGTTTCACTCACTCTGGCCCCAAATGTTGTAATAGACCCTGTAAAACATCTCACAGGCCCAGGAATGAGTGTAGGGTGTCCTAAGTAAATGACACACTTCAAAACCATCTGACATGGAAAACTCTCCACAGTCCAGACAGCAACACCTCAGATGAACTTTAAACATCCTTTAAAAAATTTTAGAAAAATGCAAAAGTTTGTCATCAGATGTTTTTCTTTTGGAAAAAAGAGTGGATAAAACTCCTTTATTTGGAATTTCCATTCAAACGGATATTAACTGGAGAGATTGAGGTGGAGGCATGGAAAGATATGGCACAACTCATTGCTCCTGGATGTGAAATCCAGTGGACGGAGAGGTGTGCTATCTGCGGGACTCACACTGCAGCTGAGGACGAAGTGATTAGGCAGCTCACCCGCTGGGAAGCTTGTCTTCTGTGCCAGGAAGACTGAGTTCACTCCCTTTTGACTGTCAACCACCCTAGATGCCCCATTCACTGACTCGGCTGCCCACCTGCCCTTTCCCAGCTCCGCTGTCCATCAATGCCATTTTTGTCCTCTCCTCTGCTGGGTACTGGGCACCCCTTCTATGGCATCACTTTCTTTCCCAATCAGCCAGCACAGTTCCCTGTCTCTCATGCACCCTTCCAGACCCTTCCCTGGGCCCTGGCTGCCCTGACCGCATGCTCTCCCCTCCTTCCTGCCTCCAGGTCTCTCCTTCCCTCCGTCTTTCCTGACCCCAGAGCCCCCCTCTGCCTGCCCTTTTCCCTCATGTCTCACATTCCCCTGCCCCTCCCACTGTGACCCAGTCCCTCCCCTCCCTCGGGAGGCTCCATCTTCTTCTGTAATCCTGTTAATTGCCAACTTTTCAAGTTTCTGTCCACGTCAGCTTCTCACATCTTCCCACATACTCACCTCCCCGCTTCCCACCAGGCCACCATTCCTCTTGATTCTTTTTCCACCTTCTACTTTCCTTTCTACCTGAAGTTGACAAATGGATACATGGGGCTTTGCATTTGAAAAGAACCTTTCCCTTGATTGCCTTGTCTAAGCCTCAGGACAGCAGCCATATCAGGACAGCAGCCATAGTGCTAGGGGATTCCCATTCCAAATGGAGGCTGTACCCATACCCACTCAGTTACCCAGACAATGGTGGAGCCCAGGCCCTGTCTGCCCACTGCAGGAGGCCTTCAGGGCCTACTTCCTTCCCTCCCACTCACTCGAGTCTTTCCTCACCACTGGGGCCAAGGCTCAGCGTTTGAGGCCCTTAGGATAGACGGGCTCAGTTGCAGGAGTTTCATTCTCCAGCCCTGTCCCCACTGATCTCCCTCTAGAGCATAATTTCTCCTTCACCCCTACTCCCTACTCCCCCTCAGCTTTCCTCTACTTGTGTTCTCTTCCCTTCATTGTCGGCCAAAAGGAAAAAATTATGAGAGATATGCCTTTGTTCTTACTTTTCCTAAAGTATGCCTCTCAACCTCAGCATGGTTACATTTGGGGTCTCAGGATTCTTGGCTGTGGGGCTGTCCTGTGCACAATAGGATGGTCAGCAGCAGCCGGGACTCTGCCCACTAGAAGCTGGTAGCACTCCTCCCCCCCAATTATGACAACCACAAATGTCTCCAGACACTGCCACATGTCCTAGGGTTTGAGAACCCCTATTGTGAAGTAACAGTGAGTTAACAGTGGCTCTGTTCTACAGTAGAGAGTAGACATCAGGTTTCTAACTATTTCTTCTGGGGCAGTTCCAGGAGGAAGGAAGTTGACAAAGGGGCATCAAGAGAAAGCCTGGACTGGACTGGAGTCTGGAGTCCTGGGGGCTCTCAGGACTGCTTGGTCAGGAGACGGGGGTCCTGCATTTTCTCGGACTGAAGAGGGAGGGGAATGAGGAAGGATGCAGAAGAAACTGTGTGCGTTCAAAGGGAGTAGGGATAAGGGGGGACTGGCCACTGACGAATCTCACTTTCCCATGTGAGATTCACCCCCAAGAAGCTCAGCCCTTCCCACACGTTAGGGGGTGAAGGTGCATTTGGGGCCTTGATGAGAGGGGGGCAGTTTGGATCCACCCCTGAGGGAGAGGAGAGAGACCACAGAGCAGGGAGGTTGGACCTCCAGGGTCATGAGGGGCTCCCGGGTGGCTCGGGTCCGGGTCTCCAAAGCCGCATTTGGCTCCTCCCCCACAGGAGCCTGGCTTAGGGACTCCTCCAGGGCCCAGCCTGGTTATCCCTGTCTGATTTAGGTCTCAAAAGTAGTTTCCCACTTCAGAAAAAAATGGTACAGAATAACCAAGCCACTCTATGTGTTCTTCTCAGCACCACAGAACCAAAAGAGAAAACAATTCGGGACCATAGTCTGTGATTTTTAGTAAACGTTGGAATTACCAAATACTGATCAATGTTGGACTTATTTCACCTGAAGGGTTTAGAATGCCAAGATGAGATTTTCCTGCTTATATCCGATTCTACTTTTCTTAAATGCAATCAAACGTAGAGAGTAGAGTGAAAAAAATCAGAGATGGGTAGACTACACACAAACTGAGACCTTACATTTTTGGTCACAGCTCCACCTATGGCCTTGCAAAATAAGTGGAGTTCCCTGGACCTCCAGTTTCCTCATATGCACAATTATCATAGTGAAAAATAGAGTGAGAATACTTCTAATTTCCTGTGAATTACATACATATATTATATGTTTATATGCCCACACTGGTTTGTATAATCACCACACCCATACTGTAGCCCTCACTTATGTACAGTTAGCCCCCCCATACACATATGGGATCTGTCCCCCTACACCCACAGATCTATATCATCACCCTACACTCATATATAATCAAACCCCCCCTACACACACATGTTCACTCACATTCATGTATGTATCCACCCTCTCTTCAGACATCTACAAGTTCATGCTCAACTTCACCATCTTTCAGGTGGCAACCCTAAATCTCCCTACTCCCCACACTTCTCAAATTCTCTCTTTCTGTCTCTTTCTCTCTCGCACATACACATGTACACTTGCTCACTGAACACCCTTCACATGCAGACCCACCCTCACACACAGACTCCCACACATAGCTCCCCAACACACCTCTCACATATACATAGATCTTCTAAAGCACCCAAGCCGTTCTCTCGTACACACCCTTGCCCCCACACAGGCATACCCCGCCTCACATGTACACACACCCTGTTTTCACACACACAAACACACATTCCCTCATCCAGCCTCAATCACATTTCTATTCAACATAGTAGTACAGGTTCTAGACAGTATGTTAAATTAAAACAAAAAAGTATGAACATTGGATCGCTGCTTCTGGAAAGATGGAGTAGATTTACTTTTCCCTATTTCTATCACTAAGTACTACTAAAATCCCTGGACATTATATACTTACAACCTAAGAAAATTCTGAAAGCCAAAGAGAAGAAGGTAGACTGGCCAGGAACCTATGGACTCAAAGAAGGACATGGTGCTGAGGTCCCTAGATTTTCTTTTCACCTCATCTGTCTCAGATGTGGAGCCTAAGAACTCAGGAAGGTGGAAACACCAATGGGCACAACAAGTTCCCACAAAGCTACTCTCTCTGAAGAAAAGACCAGAAGAGGGTCAGCCTGGCAGGACACACAACTTATACACAATAAGTGTTCTGCTGTGGCCAACAGCACAGAAAACTCTGTGGCCTCACCCCCGCCCAGGTCAGCAGAGATCCAGTGGGGAGCCTAGACATCCACCCTCAGAAGGCTGTGAGGGGGCACCCCAACACCCCCATCAGGAAGTGTCAGAGAAGGCCAAGTAGAGAGCTGTGACTTTCTCCTTGTGATCTGGTAGTAAGACCCCCACCCTCACAGTGTCAGGGGACACCACACAGACAGCCGGGACATTCACCACCACCTAGCCGTAACCAGGGGCTGCCTCTCCTCACTGGGACAACCTCAGGGGAGGCCTGGTGGAGAGTCAGGACCTTCCCCAGTGCCCAGAGGTCACAAGGCCATTCCTCCACACCTTGCATCACTGAAGGTGACATGGGAAACAACACTGAGGTGCCCCCACCACTCTCAGCCAGGGAGGAACTAGCACTCCCACCCCCACCCAGCAGTAACAAGGAACTCCTTCCCCCAATGGGTGTCTTCAGGAGCCCAGAGGGGAGCCTGGACTTCCACCCTCCTCTGGCAGTAATGAGGTACTGCTCCAATTTCCTAATGTCAGAGGAATCCTGATAAAACACAAGATTTAAATAAGATTCAGAAACTCACAATATAATAAATTCATCATACCAAGAACCAAGCAAATCACAACTTGAGTGAGAATTGACCATCTACAGAAAACAAAATTGAGACGGCCCAGTTGTTAGAATTGCCTGACAAGCACTTAAAAGCAGCGGTCATAAAAATGCTTCAACAAGCAATTACAAACATGCCTGAAACAAATGAAAAAATAGAAAATCTCAGCAAAGAACTAGAAGATATAAAGAAGAATCAATAGAAATTTCAGAACTGAAAAATATAATAATGAAATAAAACACTCAATGGATGAGGTCAACAGGAAAATGGAGAGGACAGAGAAAAATATTCATGAACTTGATGATATAACAATAGAAGTTATCCAATCTGAGCAACAGAGAGAATAGAGACTGAAAACATAACAGTAAACAGAGCCTCGGAACATGTGGGACTGTGTAAGAAGTCTAATATTCACGTCATTGAAGTCTCAAAAAGAGAGGAGAAAAAGGATGGGGCCAAAAAAGTATTTAGTGAAATAATGGCTGAAATTTTCCCAAATTTTGCAGAAACATCAACCTATAGATTTAAGAAGATGAATGAACCCCAAACAGGATAAACTCAAGAAATTTATACCAAGGTACATTATAATCAAACTTTTGAAAATGAAAGACAACAAAAAAATCTTGAAAGTATTAAAAAATCAGAGGAAAACTTACTTATAGGAAAAAACTATTCAGCGACAGTAGCTTTCTCACTGGAAACCATGGGGGCCAGTAGGAGGTGGTACAACTTTTTCTAGTGCTGAAACAAAAGAGCTGTCAACCTAGAATCCTATATCTACAACAATATGCTTCAGGAATGAAGTGGAAACCAAGACATTCTCAGATGAAGGGGAACTAAGAGATTTTGTTGAAAGCAAACACACCCTAAAACAATGGTAATAGAAGTTCTCTAAGCAGAAAGGAAATGATTAAGAAAAATGAACATCAGGGAGAAAGAAAGAATAATGGAAAGAGCAAAGAATGGGTAAATAAATAGATTTTCTTTTCTTTCTGAATTTTCTAAATTATGTTTGATGGTTGAAACAGAAGTTATAATACTGCCTGATGTTCTCAATGTTCCTAGAAGATGTATATAAGACAATTTTAATCGAAAGAAGAGACATAAAAGGAGGTGAGCTTTCTACACTTTACTGGAACTATTTGATGAGCCAGCACACTGTGATATGTAGATAGAACGTAATACCTCAAGCAACTGCTAAAAAAGCTCTTCAAAGAGATACATTCAGAAATGCTATAGATAGAACAAAGTGGAATTCTAAATATTGTTCAAGTAGCATGCAGCAATGCAGACAAAAGAGAACAGAGATAAGAAACACAGACAGAACAAGCAGAAAAATGAAATACAAGCATTGCAAGGAGAAAAAATCTGTGCTGTTTGCAGTAAAGTATAATTAATAAATGGATTAAGCCAGGACACTGTGTGTAAGGACAATGTAAGGAAAAATCTGTTTTCTTTTTGTATACCATGAAGAAATTGAAAATGAGATTTGAATAAAGATATACACAATAGCATCAAAAATATCAAATCTCTAGGAATAAATGTCATGAGAAATGCATAATGTACACCAAAAAAGAGTAAGATCATTTGTGGATAAAAATTAAAGACCTACGCTGGGGCCAGCCCGGTGGTGCAGTGGTTAAGTTTTCATGCTCTGCTTTGGTGGCCCAGGTTTCCCTGGTTTGGATCCCAGGTGCAGAACTATCCACTGCTTATCAAGCTATGCTGTGGGAGGCGTCCCATATATAAAGCAGAGGAAGATGGGCACGGATGTTAGCTCAGTGCCAAAGAGGAGGATTAGCAGTGGATATTAGCTCAGGGCTAATCTTCCTCAAAAAAATGGAAAATTAAAGACCTACATGAATGGAGGCATATATCAGACTCATGGCTCAAAAAACTCATCACTGAGAAGATGTCAACTGGCTCCAAATGGATCTATACATCTCATACAATCAAAATGAAAATCTCAACAGGAGCTCTGTCTGTACACCAATGTCCATGAGTAAGGTACTCCCTCGTCCCACAGTGGGAACATACACATACTGCTGAAAGGAAAATAGGCAGAGCCCAAGAATGCATTCTGTATGATTCCATCTGTATATCATTCAAACCCAGACAACACTAAACAAGTCAAATAAGGGTTCACTTTGTAGTAACCCTTTGGGTTGTACAATTATTTCTGTGTATTTTCTATGAGTGTTTTCTATGTCACATTAGGAAAGAAAAATCAAACAAAAATAAAGCTTTCACCCAGTTTCCACAACTCTAAGAGGTAGTTTATATACTCATTGCATAACCTTCAAA